CGCACGTCGATCGACGCGGCTGATCCGAGCCGACGGGCGACGGCTCCGCTCCCCCACGGCGTGACACGTCGGGCGATCGATCGGTCACGTCCCGCGCACGCCAGCGGGCCAGCTAGCTCCCACGACAGCGGGGCAAAGATCTCGCACGATCCATGGCCGGGGCCGAGCCTCCACCGAAAGGCGGATGTGTTCCGCGCGCGAACCGACCCCTGGCGCGCGCTCCCGGGCACTCCATCCATCTGATCCGCGGAGGAGCGCGACGTGTTGACCTCGTCCGGCCGCGCGAGCCCCTGTGGTCGGGGGCACGGGCGTGGGTGGTGGCGGGGAATGTGAGGATAGATTGCCGGACGGCGACCGGAGCGCTTTTCAGTGCGTGCACCTGGCAGGCTGCCAGTCGACGGCGCTGGATTTTGTCGAGCGGAATGGGAATGTTCCAGATCGAAATGTTGGTAGGGGCGAGGGCGACGCTGGCGTCGTTGTGTGATGAATGATACGTTGATGTTGCGTTTTTAACCATGGTGGTTGCATGGTCAGATTGTGTGGAGTCGAGAAGTAAACGCACGGAAATGGTGGATGATTAGGGTGATGATTACGGATCCCTGTGGCCTGGTCAAACGAGTTGGGCATACGATTACGAACACAGCAGCAGCAGCGTGACGTCAGAAACAAACAAGCCGGGGAGGTAGCAACGCCGAGCAGCAGATTTTTCTGTTTAACCAAACTGTACGGTGCCCGCACTCGCTCGCTCACACCAAGCACGCGGTGGGGAGTTTTCAGATGTGCCGCAGCGTTCCGAGGAGGAAGCGGAGAACTTGTGTCCCGGGTCAGTGTCGCCATCTTCAACAGATGCGCGGTTGCGCGGCAATGCTAAAAAGCTTTTACAGCGTCGAAATAGCGTTTTCGCGCGCGGGGAGGTTGTTTGCTTTTCCAGATGCTGTAAATTTTAGCGCGCCGCTATAACGCAGCAGGCGTTGCAAAATCCAGTGCGCGACCAATCGGTGTTTGGAAAAAATTGAAACAACACATAGTTCAAATTCATAACATAAAAACAACACATAATTCAAGCCCCACACCACAAGCTAGTTCATACGATGCAAATAAAACTAAAACGATGCTTCTAGATAAAACGATGCAAATAAAACTACTCCTCGTCCTCCTCAGCGGTGTAGTTCGACAACGTGAACGCGTCGATCCATCGAGGATTGTCCTTGTCCCAGGTCGACGCAGGTCCCAGCTCGCACTGGGATTCCGCCAGTGCCTTCCGCGCACGCTTGTCCGCCCGACGCGTGGCTCGCTCCTTCCTCTTCTGTGCCCAGAACTCATTCTCGACGACGACGTCCTGCGGGAAGCGCTTGCGCCACACCGCCATGGCGTGCTCATCCGCCTCGGCGATGAGGAGGTGGCGCTCCCGCCTCCGCGGGACGCAGCGATTCTCGTTGGTGATTAGTCGCGGGGGAGGCGCGAGTTCCCACGCTTGCTCGTGAGTCCGCACGTCGGAGAAGTTCATCTGCGCCCGTGGCCTCCCGAGGCGCCATGCCACCACGTGGTACGCACGGGCGGCCTTGTTGGCGGTCTCGAACGTCCCGAGCCCAAGGCGTGTATCGCCGATGCGAATCTTCACGTAATACACACAAGAGGGGCGGAGGTGGATGCCGCGTAAGCCGGAGCTGCTCCGGGGGCGCGGTGGCATGGCAGCAGCGGGGTGTTGGAGGCGCGGCGGCGGGAGGGCGAGGCACCGGTAGAGGTGAGGAAGAAGGCACGGCGGGAAGAGACGCGGCGAGGAAGATGGCGGTTGGCGGGGCGCCCACGCGCGGCTTTTATCCAGCGCACTGGATGATGCGGGCAAAACTGCCGCGCGCAATGCCGCTTTTTCCCACGTGCGCCATTTTTTTAGCACACTAAATTTTTACGCGTCTGCTGAAGCGCGCCAAACGGCCTCGAGCGCACCAAATTATCATTTTTCAGCGCGCAGCTTATCTACCGCGCCTATGCCCCTCTCGCGACCCATGACCGCGACCCCTCTCGTGACCCACCTACCCCCATCACCGACGTACTCCACCGCTGCTGCCACCACCGCTAGCCGAGCCTCAGCTGACGAGCCGCAGCGGGGCACGCACCCTACCCCTCCCCATGCCACTCCTCATCAGATCCATGGGGATCCCGCTGGGGGAGGGGAGGGGATATCGCGTGCCACTGTCGTTCGTCTACCAGGCGTTTCCAGGTCTG